TGTTATCTGAATTTTTCTGCGCGAGGTGCGTTGTTATGGCGGAATGTGGCAGCCATTGAAACCGTTTTTAAGCACACATGCATCATGCGAAATAAAACTGTCACATTATCAGGTACTTCAACCATTTTATCTACTCATCCTTTTTCTAACAAGTAAAATTTAATCTACAATGCTTCACGAGAAGTCAACATAAAAAACCCATTCATCACGTAAAAATTGATTAAAAACAGTATGATTAAAAACTCAACCTAACAATTTATGCGTTCATGATAGGTTCGGGTGGTGCGTGATAGCGTGATGCGCTAGTAGTAATATTTTCTGTGCATAATGTAATCTAATATTTTCGATGGTCACATATAAACGCGATCAGATTGCGGCCAAGAAAACGGCTGCTAAAAAAACGTTTCCGGGGGCGTCAGTAAATCTAAGCCCTAGAAGTTCTCGATCCATAGACGTCAGGTTATACCAGATGTAATCAGTCTCACATTTTCCCCTTATAAACACGTAAGGTAAACAGGACCTGTCTGATGCGATCAACAACATTTGCGCTTCTAGGTTTATTCTTATCTCAGTCACGGAGGAAAAATTGCGAATTCTTGGAACAGAGCCAGCTGCTCACTGATTGGTTCATGCCGTGAATGAATTTTTCAGATGATAATTGCATTCACTCCTCCCTGTTTTTTCTCTCTAAGAGCTGTTGTTGGCAGTCCAGACCAATCCGACCTACAGCCTTTCTGATTGCTGGACTCAGTACACGAAATAACCACAGGATTCAGAATTGCGCATCTATCTGGATTATCTCCCTCCAACCAGAGAGTTTATTGTTTCGCGGTAAACAGGGTTGATTACGGGGTGCGGTAAATGAGCGGTCAAAAAGTTCGGCCTACCACAGAAGTTTTAGATTGCATCTAGCCAAGCAACTATGACCAAAAGGATCGAGTGCTTGAATTTGGTTACGGGTCTGAGCTACAGGCAAGGCCATATTCCACGATTAGTTTAAATCTCCTAGCTTGACTCCATCGATTATCGGTTATCGATCGATCAGTTATCCCACTGAACGTGAAAGGCAATATTTGTGTGATGCTCTGCAATTAAGCTGCATCGGTGAAAGTCATCTCCTCTTGACTTTTACTATTTCCTAGGGAAGTCGACGAAACGTGGCGCCTTAGCCCAGATAGTCGAAGGTTACGTCCAATAACAAGTTTTGGTCGCAGTTAAAATCCCAACTTTTTCTCCTTGGGGAAGCACGACTGGCTCATAGAGGCACCGACTTTAATTAGCTCTACTTCCGTGGCCAAATAGGACGAAGATCAAGATGTTTAATGCCAAATCTTCCTCAAGACAGACATGAGCTTCACTCAAAAAAACGAAAACCCAAATCGTCTCTCATTATCAATATCGCTAGTGATTCATATTGTAGAAACGACTGATCTGTTGGCTACTGCCTCAACATATATTTTAAGGACTTGTCTTGTGTACGTTTAGGAAAAAATACGTGATTAGGTGACCTGAAACGATAAGAAGTTTCCGCGTAACGCCATTCTACTGAAACGGGTAGTATATCTTGCGAAATTCCTTGTGCTAATGCAACATAGCGTTTTTAGTCTTCCCAAATTTATACGAAGTATAAATGTATCCATAAGACGTTCAAGACATTGAAAAACTAACTTCTGTCGTTCTTTCCCTTGTGCGTTCATTTTTTTAAAAAAGAAAACGATATACTGATGCTTAAAGTCAAAATGTCTGACGTCTCAAATCAAGCGTTCACCGGAAGAAATTTCTGTTTGATTTCGCTCTTTCGGCTAGTGATTTCGACTGCGAATTTTCAGAAACTGGCGATTTCACTGCACATTCTCTTACAGTCGCCATCGCCGAATAGAATGCACCGCAGACTGAGAGCTATGTCTTAAAGGATCTCCAATCTCTTAAAACGGTCTGTAGTCAAAACATCAGAGCGAAAATATAACTAAATGGAGGCATCTTCTTCGTGTCCTCTGACATGCCACCTGGGAATCCCGCTTTATTGTTGCCTATACTTGAAGTCTTTGTCTGCTTCCCTGCAGTGAAGTCCTTTCTTGTCGTAATTTCGTTTGCATCCACCCCACTCCTCCCCGTGGCTACATTTTCTCTGATTCGGCTGCGGCTAACACTCTAGTAAATACTGCAGACTACTACTGCGTCGTCACGCAATGCAACTCAA